TACTTTCAGTTGTTAAATATGTCAATTAATAGTAAATAACAAGTCAAACAACAGTGGCTACTCTGAGAATCAGGAAAACCCCCCATTTGGGTCTGTATACAAGACCTGGTCAATGATAAAAAGAGTTTGTTATATTTCTAATGATTTGATTTAAACTTAATAGCCCATTATATACCCAGCCTTGCAGAAATTAACATTGTTTCATGAGAACTTTTGAATTCTGAATGGTAGTTTTTTTTTAAGTTTATTTATTTATTTATTTTGGTTTTTTGAGACAGGGTTTCTCTGTGGCTTTGGAGGCTGTCCTGGAACTAGCTCTTGTAGACCAGGCTGGCCTCAAACTCACAGAGATCCGCCTGCCTCTGCCTCCCAGGTGCTGGGATTAAAGGCGTGCGCCACCAACGCCCAGCAAGTTTATTTATTTTTATGTACATTGGTGTTTTGCCTGCATGAATGTCTCTATGAAGATGTCAGGTCCTCTAGAGCTGGAATTACAGACAGTTGTGGGCTGCCATGTGGGTGCTAGGAATTAAACCCAGGTTCTCTGGAAGAGCAACCAGTGCTCTTAACCTCTGAGCCATCTCTCCAGCCCCTGAATGGTAGTTTTTAATTATTGCATCTATACTGATGAAGGAATTCAAAACAAGAGAGATCAAAACATTTAACCAAATTCAACACAACAAATGATTGCCCAAATCTGTTTGTGAAACCTTTGACCTCTTCGACCTCTTGCCTTGGTATGCATCAACAACAGGATGAAAGAGAATCAGAAAGCAGCATTTGTGTATCAAGACACACAACGACACAGTCTGATGACAGTTTTGTGTATCAAGACACACAACGATACAGCCTAATGACAGTTTTGTGTATCAAGACACACAACAATAGTCTGATGACAGTTTTGTGTACCAAGACACACAACGATACAGTCTGATGACAGTTTTGCACGTGTTTCTATGTCTTTGGATAAACACCTCACCACAAAGATGAGGTTGTAGAGTACATCTACTGCCCCAGAGGTTCTCTGTGTTTTTCTACAAAAGAGCCATTGGTACTACAAACACTGGGTAACTTTCTAACATCCACGCTGTGGATTAGTTTGGCCTGTTTTCCATTAAATGAGATGAGATACATACATACATACATACACACACACACACACACACACACACACACACACACACACACACACACAGTCTGTGTTTCTCTTGTGTGTGGCAGCTCTCTTGGAAGCTATTCCAGGAGGTGAATGTATAGCCGCTTATCTACTCTATTGCTGAAGAATTTTTGAGTTAGTTCTAATTTTGGCCTTAATGAATGAAATTAGAAACATTTAAAAGGGCCGGGCGTTGGTGGCGCATGCCTTTAATCCCAGCACTCGGGAGGCAGAGGCAGGCGGATCTCTGTGAGTTCGAGGCCAGCCTGGTCTACAAAGTGAGTTCCAGGACAGCCTCCAAAGCCACAGAGAAACCCTGTCTCGAAAAACAAAACAAAACAACAACAAAAAAAGAAACATTTAAAAGGAAATTTCTGTGGATATAAGCTACCATTCTTACTGGCTGAGCACTCAGGAATAGAACTGTTGGGCGGTAGGTCGTAGGTATGCTTAGTGTTAGTAGGCACCACTGTGTACTGCTGAATATTTTCAAAGTGATCACACTAGTTTACATTCCCACCAGCAAAATATAAAGAACTTCAGTACCTTCACTTCCCCACCAACCCTCGACGCCATCACTCTTTTTAGCTTTGTCTACTCTACAGCATTAATAAATACTCCTACATGCTACATTTGATACAGACACTACAATAAATAAAGGAAATAATTGCACATCCTACAAGATGTTAGGAATACACATCATTAATCAAACGGCTCAGAAAGCAAATAACAATAACTGAGACTAGTGCACGGCCTCATGCTTCCAATTTGGTTCGTTACTTTGTAGAAGGGTTCTGTGTACTGAAGTACAGTTGTGCCTATACCGTTTTTCTCATGTGTGCCAAGTCCTGATGGTGTCTTTCCATGTCAATCTATTTGGTGCAAATATTTGTACCTTTTAAAATTTAACATTCTATACAATGGCTAAGTTAGAAATCAATACTATGTAAAATACTACATACATTTAAATAAATGTAACCAGAAATCCAAGCACATCGAATTCAGATATCTAACCAGAATGACTCCTGTATTAGTAAGACAGTAAAAACACAGGACATTGGGGTGCCCCCTGTTTTGTTGTCTTTCTGTGGCAGTAGAACCCAAAGATCACGAACCTTGGTCAAGGCAGACGTACTAATGCCAGAAAACTTGTGGCCTCTACTCCTGAAGGTACCATGACTTTATATTTTAAACAGTCGACAACTGTATTTCTGAATCTGTAGTTATTTTTTGTTCCTGCTGCACGGACTGATACAATCTAGGAATCTGAAGGAGGTTGCTATCCATCACTGGCCCGAATTTAGATCTGTTCTGGCCTCCCTCTCCTCCAGTGAGTGAGATTTGATAGATGACTGTGATTTTTTGGCAAGAAATGAACAACTAAGCTGCAGGGCTCAAATCTTCTTTCCATCACTCACTCACTGTGTGATCTTTGGCACGTCACCAAAACCCTGTGAATCTCAGTTCCCACATCTCTAAGACTGGGGTGACAGCTCCTGCCTAGAAGGTTGAGAATTCAGCATCATTAGTAAGGTGCTTACGCCAGCACAGCATTCCAGGTGCAGACGGTCAGGGAGTAAAATGAGTTCAGAAGTCCTACTTCAGTCTGTTCCTATCTCTTTTGGCCTCTTTGTGTCCTCTTTGACTATTCTACCCTCGACCACGCCATCTCCACACCAACTTATACCCTAAGCCTCCGAACCAGGAGAACAAGATGCTCGGAAGCAAGGGACTGCTGAGGACAGAGCCTCTGGAAGGGTCTGCAGTCACTATGCTGGGTCAGAGCCTCACTCAGGAGGTTAGAGAGTGCATGGTTCTGCTTAACCGACACCCTGGAGAAGGCAAACCATGACTGGTAGCGACTGGGATGCTTGACTGTAAAAAGAGGAACCGATGCCATCACCCCACATTCTTACCACAACGTGACTTTGTTCTATACAGTGGTCAAATCTCACATAATGATACTTTTTAAAAGGCAAATTTTGCTTTGTGCAATCATACACTGTTCTTCAAAATAAATGGTAACAGACCAAGGTGTACTACAAAGACTATGGCTTAAATACCACAGCATCCATACTGCTGGGTCTGTAACATAGAAGCAGAGGCAACACATGTGCAGACCCATGTCCAATTTCACAGCAGGGCCTTTTCCTTCAGCCCTGAAACTTTAGCCAACTGCTGGGTGCTCCAGCAGAGTTACCCGTTGCTTAACTGGCTGTCTTGCAGTAAACATGAGAATACTGTCGTTGTTTTGTATCAGCGACTAGCCTTGCCACGAGCGAGGCACAGGGAAGGACTGAAGACGTTATGACAAGGATGAACAAAGGTGAGCCCCTCTTGTCTGGTGACATCAGTATTCTACCCAGACAGCGTCATCAGCAGCTGCGTGTCTCCGTGGGCTCTGGGGACCTGGAAGCCCGCACCTCAGTCTAGGCACATGCTACTGTTTTTTTTCTGCTTTACCACAAAACCATTTTTAGCCCTTAGTTACTTTTCCATTGCTGAGAAGAGACACTGTGACCAAGGCAACTGATGAAAACCATTTCAGTTGGAACTTGCTTACAGTTTCAGAGGGTGAGTCCATGACCATCATGGTGGGGACCATGAGAAGAGGCTTGGCACTGGAGTTATGGCTAGGAGCTCACTCTGATCTGAGCAGGAGGTGGGTGGGGGAGAGAAGGCGGGAGGGAGGGAGAGAGAGAGAGCAAGAGAGTGCTAACTGGGAGTAGCATTGGTTTTTGAAACCACTAAAGCCCACCTCCAGTAGCATACATCCTCCAATGAGGCCACACCTAATCCTCACCAACTAGGGACCAGGCATCCAAATGTATGAGCCTATGGGACCATTCTCATCCAAAGCACCACGATCCCTGATAGTCTGCCATGAAGAAACCTTGTTTCTGTCCCTGCCTGATGTATCTTTCCATCACTCATGTCTCCCAGGACCTCTATGGACCTTTCTCCACAGATCCCACCTTCAACAGTGAATCAGAAGCAGCAGCTGCAGCCTTTTGACCAGTCTCTTCTTAGTCGGGTACAGACTTAACTCTGCTCTTTGGATACAGCCTAAGTTTCCAGTTCTGAGACTTCACAGGACGTTCTCTCCTCCATAGATGGCCCCTCCTACTGGGCCCTACTCTCCTGAAACTCTCACTACACTTTAAGCTTAGTGACTCCATTTTGCTATCTAGTCTGAGCCTCTCGTCTCACCATCTTGGAGGTTTAGAGTTGACAGTAAAGAGAGATGAAAGCTACCTTCAATGGTCTGTCCCCTAGTGAAACAACCAGAACAGTGACCCGAGCTTACAGAGGACTGTAAATGACATCCCTTACGTTGCATGCCACGAGACAGCTTCCTTTCATCCCTCAATCCCTGTTAGTTATACTGTGTAAACAAACACCTCCATCTCTTCTAGCTGGCAGTACCCTAAGCCTTAAAGCCACGTTCCATTATCACACATACCAAGTCCGTGACACTCTATCTGACCCCACACCTCAGCAAACAGGCTCAGTATAAACACCCACATCTGATCACTTTGCTCCAGGAAAAGATGTCACACATGCATACACAATGTAGCAAGTATGGGTAGCTCTACAGAAAGATCTACACAAGGACAGCACCAGAGAAACACCCTCCATACCCATGGTTCATGCAAAAGTTCCCAGATGTCACTTAGACACTAGGTCCCTCTGGATTGTGTCAACTCCTGGAGGCATGCCCAGGAGTCTGCACTGTTAAGGTTTCTCTCTAGGACATTGTGATATCTGACCAAGTTGGGAAACCCTGTGGCCAGAGGCTCTATCAGAAAGCAAGTCTGGCACTGTCCTGCAGCAGTTTGTGAGCACTGTGCAGGCAAGAATGCTGAGGCTGAGGGACAGGCCACCCTTTCCGTGGCTGATGGAGGAGACTATTCCAGAGTCCACAGTGAAGTTCAACACAACTGTTAAAAGCTAACAAAACATTAAGGCCTGTGGAGGGAATGAAGTCGGAAGAGGAGAGGCCGATAAGAAAACCATTCTACAGGAGCCAGTAAGTTATTATGAAAACAAGAAATGTGTTCTGGCTGCTAGAGGTAGGCATGGAGCACATGGGAAGCTGGACTTAAGGGCTGTATGATGAGTGAGAGCCGAGGCTCTGTTTGGTTTTACTTGGGGGTCCTGCTATCTAGCCCAGGCTGGCCCCAGACTCAATTCTCCTGCCTCAGCTTCCAGAGTGTTCAAGTGAGATCTTAATGACAGTCTGGGGAAAATGAAAATGCCATCAGGAAATAATAAATTGTTTACAAGACAGTATGATGGAAAAATTAGTATAACCTTTAACATGAATTGGCTGTTCACACAGAACAATGTAGACAATTCCACCGAAGAAGACACGATGGGTTTCTGAACATTCCTTTTAAGGGTGTGCTTAGCCCACTGCGCATTATTTTCCTGTTGTCTTAAAGACCTTCTTCTTGTCTAATCTAGATGACAACTGTGATGCCATGCTTATTTCTAAACCATAATGAAACCAAGATCCTTAAGAAATCCTTTCAGAGCCAGAACACAGAAAGCGTATTCATATCCCAGAAGACTGGGCTGATAATATCTAGTCTAGACGCAGGGATTCATGAAAGAAAGTACAATTAGAATCTTTTCATTTAAAGTGGGTGTCTTGAAATATGTTTTTCTGAAAATCCAATTTTAACGTGTTATTTTTGTAAAAGGAGAGAGCACAAGGCTTTCTGGGGAGACTAGAACAATGAACCTGTGACTGGAAACAGAATTTCTTCTAAGCTGTTGTGGGGTTCTGCATAGCACAATATCATAAAAGCTGAGGGGCTGGGCACTCCTGTCCCAAGCCAGGGGTGACTTTTCTGAGGTCCCACCAGAGTAGTCACAGACCCAACCTTACTTAACACGATGGTGATTTGGCTTCTGCAGCTTTAGGGATGACCTGTGGCTGGCCCGTTTTCACAAAGGACAACCACTTACTAGAATTAAAGAAAAAACTAATTTCTCCCCCTGTAGAGAACTCTACCACTAAGTAATCTTGTTGTCACAAAGGCCGTAGCCTGCGATGTGGCTGCTAAAGACCCACTGGTGCTATTATAGAGAGGAAGAGGCCAGCAATCCAATTAAGTTATAATAAGCTGAACTATTTCAGGTACTTTTAATCAACACACTCCCTACTCTAAGTGGCAGGGAAGGTCTTCAGGAAGGAAAAGGGTAATGTTAATGCAAACGAATAATTGCTGAATGACTTGAATGAAGGCAGGCTACCTGAGAGAGTAAGCTTGGCCAGCTCATTGCTTTATTCCCTGGGACCTCATCTTACACCCTTAAACACCTGGCCATAAAATTCTTTGAAAATACTCAAGTATCTGGAGTGTGACCCTTCTTGTCTCATCTTCATTGTCAGGGAGTGGTCTTCCCAAACATAAACCTAAACATGCCAGTGCCTAGACAAAAGTCTTCCATGACTCTTTGGTCGACATTGATTGAAGCATCATGGAAAGTACCTCCCATGCAACCCCAAACCACCTCGTCCATCTACAGCGAGTCCAAAGCAACACACTCTAGTCTTTTACTCCCATGATGCCATATCTCTCCTATCATGGTCGGCCATGCTCTGTCTTACTTCATGACTCTAACCCACCAGTTACCCTAGCCCACACAACCCCGCTTCTCTTCACCACCTCAGTGCTGTCTGCTGCACAGATTCTTTTGGTACCCAGGGCAAAGTAAGTTGATCTCCCTGTATGTCCTCCCTTCCTGCGTCTGAGCTCCTCCGCAGTGCTTATATGGCTGTCCCCAGCTACTCAACTGGTTTGACTGGAGACATTCGACTCGTTGAGGTAAACACAAGGACTAATTTTAACTCGCAAATGGCTGCTACCAACTGTGCTTCTCATCTGCTCTTTTGTCTCTCTGGGCAGCAGGCTCCTGCAACAACATTTTGTTCTAAGTCATAACTCTTCAGTCACTGTGTTTGTTAGAGCACTTTGGTCCTGTAAACTATTGAATATTTGGCTCAAACCTCTCTCCTCCCCAGGGAAGGCTACATGAAGCAACTCCATGGCAGATCCACTCTGTGACAGACACTGCCCCTTCTTCCTTATGGTGTGTGAAGAAGGTGAGGAAGAAAAGGGGCCCCTCTGTCCCTGGTTGTTCCACTGCCGTCAGTGGTGGTGAGGCTGCTGAGATTCTACTGTTCTCCACAGCTGGGCTTGGGGAGATTGTCCTGTGATGATGTGATGGCTTTAAGTCTCCACCAAAGAGAACAACATGCTAAGGAAGTCTCCTGTTAGTCCGGGGAGATGGCTCAGTGAATGGGTAAAGTGGTTGCTGTATAAGTGGGATCACCTGAAGTCAGCACCACAGCACCCACTTTAAACAAACACCAAACACCCCAGAACTGGAAAAGAGAGTCAGGAGCGTCCCAGAGGCTTGCTGACCAGCCCCTCTAGCCAACTGGTGAGTTCTGTCTCAAAATCCAAGTTGGAGAGTCATAGAGGAAGACACCCAACATCAAGCCCCAACCTGCACAGGCAAACACACATCAGCAAGCACACATGTATACATACTTACTCACGTATACATGCTCACACACGTATACATATTCACACACGTACACATGCTCACACGTACACATGCTCACACATGTATACATGCTAACACATGTATACATACTCATATATGTGCCACAGATATTTCCCAAAGTTCCCTAACCACTGATGACTCCTTCCAAGGAGACTCGATTGCGCTTTCCAACTGACGCTAACCTAGAGGCATCACACCACATTCCACTGCTATTCATTCTCCTTTGCTCCTTCTCATAATGTTTTCATAAAACAAACTGCGCCTCCAGCGGGTTTTATTGTTAGGGAATTTCGCCTATCAGAACTATAGAAAGCAAAACAAAATCTTGAAAATGAATATGTGCACTCGGGTACTTAGGTTTAAATATAAGATATCTCATTTAAAGTATAAGGTATCTTATTTACTGTGGGTTCTTTCTTCATCATTTTCTTTCCCCCTTTGGCTTTTTCAGGAATTTGACTATGGGATCAATTAGGGTTCTTAAAAATTATACAACTTCAAACACAAATAAAAATCCATGTATCTTTACATTGGACTCTAGAGACAGTCTGGCCCCATGTTTCTCAAAATGTGTTCTGAAAACATAAGTGATGTTCTGAGAAGACATTGTTCAGTGGTCACACTATGTTCTTCAGACTCCTCTCTTGGAGAGTCATCACAGATATCAGAATATCAACAGCCTTGGCAGGTTCTGCAGTAAGTGAATCCAACAGATACTCCAGAATTCAGAATTTCAAAAAAATTATTAAAGCTTTTAATTTCCTCTCCCAACTTGTATCTTAGTTACCTTAGTATTACTGTAATAGGACACCATGGCCAAGGCAACTTATAGAAGAGTTTGTTGGAACTTACAGAGGGTTACTGGCCATGACCATGGCAGGGAGCATGACTGCAGGCAGGCAGGCATTGTGCTGGAGCAGTAGCTGGGAGCTTACATCTTGAGACACAGCCAGGTATCTGGGCATCATGGCTCAGGTACCAACATCTGTAAAAGGAGAGGTTGGAATTCACTGCTGCATGAGTTATGATATGTCAGATTTTAAGAAAGGACCTTGTGTATCCAGTAGTTTATCTGTGTGCATTTTAGAAAATCTAGGAAAATACTACCAAGATAGATTTTAAATACATATGAAGAATTTGTCAAAAGGCAGGAAGATATTTTGTAGAAAAGAAAAAAAATACTTTAAACCATTGTATTTCTGAAATACAATGATGAAAAGTCCAGATGAATTATCAATAATTTTAGTTTTTTACATACTTAGAGTAATACATACTTTAAATTTTTTCCCTCAAAGAAGTACACAATGGATATACTAAGGTAAATATTCAGGCTATGATAATTATAGAAATTCAGATTGACCAATTTTTGGTTTGCAGTCTTAATCAGGGAGTTACATATCAATAAAAGGGAGAAAAATAGTTAATATTTTGTGGTTAATTTTACAAAATTATTGGATATACATAAGCATTCCACATGACCAAACATGAAAACATTTGGACTTTCCACTCTGTTCTTTTAGGGTTAAATAAACAAAAGCACCCTGAAAGGGTCCACAAAGACTCCTTGGTTTTGTTTTGAGTTTAACTTAATTTTTCCGTGCCGATTAAGTCTTTCAGATTTCCTCTGGGTGGGACGGATTGCTGGAGGCCTCCAGCCACCTGAGAAAAGCAGCTGCCTTCCTGTCGCCATGCCAACTGCTCGGGATTTCCCCCTTTCTTTCCCAGTCTTCCCATCAATGTGGGAAAGTCACGCCCCCACCCCGGTGGGGCACCATTTCTAACTACCTTTGGCTCCTTCCCTCGCTTTTTGTGTGAGACAAGAAAACTGGCAATGACGTTGTCTTTTCGAATATGATTTTCATTCTGTTTTGCTTTCTCTCGCTTCTTACTGACGTCTTTGTGTGGTAGAGCGGGCTGGGATCCCATTGCAGTTACATGGCAACCAGGAAATCAGTCATTCGGAGTTGCCATGGTAACCAGAGGGGGGGAGGGAAAGGTCCATTTATCACAGTAGGCCGTGTCCCTTGCTGGAAGCCTACAGAATTTTTAGACAAAGGTCATTCTGAAAACAGCAACCAAAGGGAAGGAAGGAAGGAAGGAAGGAAGGAAGGAAGGAAGGAAGGAAGGAAGGAAGGAAGGAAGGAAGGAAGGAAGGCAGGCAGGCAGGCACCCCCATCTCTGATCTCAAGACGGACCTGCATGGTGCTGGCATCAAGCTGGAAGGTGCTGAGCTTGTGGCAGATGCCACAGAGGGTGGAGGGTTTCTCCTTCTCCCCTCTGCACAGGACCTAGGACTCTGACAAGTCAGCTGAAGAAGGTCTGCTCATTTAGCTTAATGGAGCCTGAAGCTAGTCGTCTGCAGGAAATGGCAGCTAGCTACCCTTGTTGCATGAGGAGAGCTCTTGCCTTGGTTGCCTGGGGTACGGCTGGCTCTACTTGTGTGGCTACAGCAGAAACAGAGCTCAGACTGCTGGCCTGAGAAAAGCAGAAGTATCTGTTTCCTGCCACGTTTGTTAAGAACAGCAGTTCTCAACCTGTGAGGCGGTCCCTTATCAGACATCCTGCCCATCAGATATTTACATCACAATCCATAACAGTAGCAAGATGACAGTTATGAAGTAACAACAAAATAATTTCATGTTTTATGGTTGGGGCCACCACAGCAGGAGGAGCTGTATGTTAAAGGGTCGAAGCGTTGGGAAGGCTGAGAACCACTTGTTTGGGAGTTGAAAGTAATCAGCTTTCAAACTCAAAGCGGGTGAAGCTGAGCAGGGTGAAGTCTCTCATAGCCCCAGGCCTTAGACTCTACCGCCAGGAGAATGGGGCAGAGCCATCCACCTACGGGGAGATTTGTTTGGTAATGAAGAGGAGTCTAGACCCTGTGGGGCACAGACTCACCTCCTGGATTTGCTGGTTTTAGAGGGAGGCTATCAAGAGTCCATCACATTCTAACGTTGAGGAAACATTATTTGCTTTTAAAACCTTTAATTGGCAACACTGGAACAAGCCAAGAGATAGGAGTGGCTGTGAGAGCCTTTTTTTCTTGTAAAATAACATCTTCCTTTGCCCCCTTACACGCTGAGATGAGGAAACTGTTGACTTCCTCCTCCCCTGCAACTGTCCCCTGTCCACCCGTTTCCATCTCTGCACAGGGTACCATCATCATTCACTTTGAACCTTCTTCTCCTACTCCCCTTCTCTCACTTCCAATTTAGCGGCTAGTTCTCACAACCTTATTCTGAAAACATACCCTCTCTTCTCCACGCCCTTGTTATCTGTCATCCTGAACACCAGGCTCCCACAATCTTCCTGAGAGGGGGGGGGAGGGGAGGGGAGGGCAGAGGAGAGGAGAGAGAGAGAGGAGGAGAGGAGAGAGGAGAGAAGAGGAGAGGAGAGGAGAGGAGAGAGAGAAAGAGGAGAGAGAGGAGAGGAGAGAGAGAGGAGAGAGAGAGAGAGAAGAGGAGAGGAGAGAGAGAGAAGCTTCTGGTTATATCTTCTGTTCCCCTCTTGAAAAGCCCCACTGGCTTCTTTACAGGCAATTCAGACCACGCCACGCCCAAGTCCCCTTACCCGCACTCCGCCCCACTGGTGTGCACCCCGTTCACTGAAGAGCCACCAGCCACCACACCTGTGCAGAGGTGACTCCTGATGACATCCATTCTCACACCCTGGATCTCTCCTACTTGTGCATTCCTTACCCACGGTCACTCTTCGGTGTTCCTTGGAAACATCCACTGATCGATTCGGGGGCTTCATGCTTTGTTGAACACCGTGCCCAGGAAATTAGAAGGCTTTCTCTCACACCCCCGCCCCTCCAACCCCAGTTATCCATTCAGGGAGCCTCTCTTACAGGAAAACATTCTACCAGCCTGGAAACAGAAGCAGCCCCCCCCCCCCGCCCCAAGAGTGCAGGGACTAGTGACAGTGGCGTGTGCGTGGTTGAGGGGCGCACAGCAAGCGTCCACGACGTACTCAGACAGAAGGAGCTAGTGCTGCAGGGGTACAAACAGCAGCAGTCCTGGAAACCGTGGGGATGTCCAGAGGACGTGTGGCTTTTGTGGAAGGAAATCAGCACCAAAGCAATGGTGGCGAGGAGCACGGTGACCTCGCTTTCATTGGCCAAACAGACAGAACGCAGAGGCAGAAAGAGCTAGTGATTCGGAGTTATCGTACAATGACCTTTCCCCCACGCAGGAGCGGGAAACAATAAACAAGAACTATTTCTTATAGTTCCTGTGGGTCTGGAATTTGGAAGCTAATCTTTGTGTTTCCAGGCCCCTTCTCACCCGACGTTATACGGTCAGAATGCCAGCTATTTGGAAGCTTGCTCTGATTGGAGCGTCTGCTCCCAAGGTGGCTCACTTACAAGGCTATGGGACACTGCCGGCTCTTGACAGGAGGTCTAAGATCCTTTCTCTTGCCACAAGGCTGCCTGCGTGTCCTCAGAACATGACACCCAGACCCTCTGAGTGGTTGATGTGAGAGGCCACGGTGGGAGCTGTGGTACACTTGGTGGCTTCCACTTGTAAGTCAGGCAGATGCGCTCTGCGCAGGTGTGAACACAGAGGGGTAATAAGGTCAGGATAGAAGGCCCACCCTGAAATCCTGTAGGCAGAGAGCAGAGCAAAGAGAACCAGGGAAGGGACTAGAAAGAGTGGGGGGGGGGACACCAAAGGGAACGATCAGTATGGCTGACACCCTTTGAAGACCATCTCACTTAAAGTAGAGATATATTTATCTGTTTACTATTTCCTTGTTGATTCCTTTTGATTGTATAAACTTCATGAAACAAGTGGCATATTCTATTTTTTCTTGGTAAGTTCCTAATAAGTATTTGCATGTTTGAACATATAATTATACCCAATTTTAGAGAAAAAGTAAGTACTACTAAATGACTAACTCTAGAAGTATTTCCATTCCTTTTAAACTGAATTTATTTTCTTCCTTCCCACCTAAAGGGTAAAATAATACTATTTGGTGAACTCAATGTCATCTCCGAGCCCCTCGTCAGTAGCTGCTATGCGTTGCCTTCTCAGTTTCTTCTACTTTCATCTGAAGATTGTATTCTTTTGTCTCAGATGGGAGGGGATCCTGAATTTTAAAAGCAACTGTTTACTGATTTTAGAGGCAGCTGTTTACCTTTCTCCCTCTTAAAGTAAGACCACATTAAATTGTGTTTTGTTTGCATGTCTGTCATTTATCTTTTTGGAGATCTTATTTTAAAGTGGGTCCTTAGGCGACAAATTCTTCCCGTCCTTCTCAAAATATGCCGACAGCAACTGGGGGAATGTCTTGTCCTTGGTAGGAAGATGAGACATGGAAGATTGCTGACTCGTAGTCACCGACGCCAGGGAGAGAACAGCTCATGGTGCAAAGCATGTCTTCATGAGCACCATTGAGTTACTCCGATGGATGGATCCAAACATGGCAGCAGCCTCAGGATCAACACACCCATCTATCCAAGTAAGGATACGGTCCTCCTCTCTCAGTTCCCAAGGACACACTGTAGATGAACCACTTTCCGGGTACCAAGTGGGAGAAACCAACCGGGTAGGGAATGAAGCAATTCCCTTTGGATGAGGAAGAGAGTCTAATATCAAAAGATTACTTGATGGCATGGCCACAGACTCATCGCTGCACAGCAGAGATACAGAAGTCCTCACCAGCAACCCCCTCACCTCCATGCTGTATCCAGGAGCTTTGATGCTTTTCACTACCATGGTTAACAGTACTAATAGCAGGGTGTGTGTACGCGTGGAGGGGGTACACATGGGTGTGTATCCGCCCTAGTGCTTGTGTGGGCATCAGAGGACAACCTTGGAAGCTGGTTCTCCTCTTTTATCTTTATGTGGGTTCCAGAGATTGAACTCAAGGTGATCAGGCTTGCCCACTGAGCCTTCTTGTTAGCCTAGAAACTGTGACACTTATCCATACTAAACACCATCGTCTACTTAATATTATAGTCTCTGTTATTCTGGGGTTCTTCTTAGCAAAGATTTAATGCATACTGTGCTATCTGTGTAAACCAGAATAAACTCCTTATGACTGGTATCCCAAGTGTCTCCTCAAAGCCTGATGTGCCGAAGGCTTGGCTCCTAGCTGATGGGAAATGGCTGGATTATGAGGATCCACCAAAATGTGAACAAGCTACGTGGCAATTCCTGCCTCCGTGCACTTCGGCCGCCGTGTTTTCCCCATGGAAATGGAATATATCCCCTGACCATAAGGCAAAATAAACCTCTCATATCTTAAATGGCTTCTGTCAGGCATGTGGCCACAGCGAATATTCAGAATTTGGTGTACACTAACATGGTTTTCTATAGCTTGCAGGTGTAGGGTGTTTCTTTACAATCTGGCCAGGTTCTCTTTTCAGACCTTCTTCCTGTCCCCCTTCCAAGGTACCCAAAGAAACACAAACGCTTGGGAATTTCTGCCACAGTTGTTGCTTGCTCAATACACAAACATCTACGAACCGCCTGCTACATTAGTTACGAAAACACAAACCAGAGGCACAAGGCAGGCCGACAGCAGAGAAGATTAAAACAGCCGGCGTTGAAGCAGCAAGGCAGGGCACCCTCCCAGAGGAGAGAAACTGGCTCTGCTTACATGGCCAGCGGAGATTCTTTTTTCTTTTCACTTGACAAAGGCAACTTAAGGCAGGAAGGGTCTATTGTGGTTCACATCTAGAGGGTATCACCGGTCACGGTTGGGACAGCACGGTGGAGGAAACACGCAGCATCTGGTCATGGGAAGCAGGAAGATGTGAGAGTCGGATATCAGCTTGCCTTCCTCCTTTTCCCTTTTGGTTCAGTCTGGGCTCCCATCCCACAGAATGGTGCTCCCACATCCTGGGTGTACCGTCCTCCCTCAGTTAGGCACCCCTGGAAACACCTTCATGGACACATCCAGAGATGTCTTCTAGGTGATTTTAAACCCAGTTAAGTTGACAAGAAAAATTAGCCATAGAAGACTTTAATGAAAGGCTGTCTCAAATGACAGACAGGGCCTTTCCAGAGTGCGACATGGAGAGCAGGATGAGGGTGTGTGTGGAGACAGGAACAGTAGGTGTCACGGTACACAGGTGGGGTTGGAAGCAGGCTCTACCATTCACCCACTGGGAAAGTAGACATGGGGTTGGAAGAGGAAGTAAGGCTGGAGTGTGGGCAGGCGACACCATGTAGGGGCTCGTGTGCGGTGCAAAGGGGTTTGCGTCTGTGTCTCATAAGCCATGGGGAGGGCAGAAAGGGAGGAATGGCAGCAGGGCATGTAATGATGAACTCTCCATTATGGAACTGTAATTCTACTGAGGATGACTTAGGAGAATGGCCGAGGCAGAAGCACACAGTAGGGAACACTGCAGCCACATAGGAAACCCAAAGCAGTGGGGACACAGGGTAGTGGCAGAGGAAGGGGAAGGAGCATCTTGGGTAAGGAGATAATCTAGAGGTAGCGATCAAAGACTGATTTACTTTGAAATAGCAAAGAAAAGGGAGTCTGAGGTCACCTGAATACCGTGTGTACAGTCGGTTGATGCACCCCTTAAAGGAATGGGGACTATACAAAGAGGAACAAGCTTTCCGTGAAAGTAATGTCTAGAACTCCAAAGAATCTTCTAGCCAGAATGCTCAAAAGTGCAGGACAGACATCAGGCTAAAATGATGTCCTCATCAGCCCCCACTATCAGATACATATGAAAAATAAAACCCACGATTCATTTCTGCAAACAAGGTCAGTAATGAGCGTTAGAGTGCTTTTCAGATTTCTGTCTCTGCACTGATCACATGACGTGTAAACAGGAAGTAAAATGCTACCTTCTCTCTGAAATGGATACTTTGTAGACCTGGTACCAGGGTTCCCTAGGCTTGTATTTCAGTTTTAAACTGGATTAATCTCTTCCCCTGGTTGAGCTACATACACACCCACCCTTGACTTTTGTCTCCGGAAAAAAGAAGCTGCTAGAACTAGCTGAAAGCAATGAGGCCAATGACAGGAAGGGAAAGATCTTAAAATCTAGAGTTTTACTTTGAGGAGTTTGGTTGGCCTACAGCTGGGCAGCTCAACCTATTGTGAGCTTTATGGCCAGAGACGAAAGGATGGATTAGGAGGCGGCAGGACTAATTCCTAGAGTTTAATTGATCAAAAGAGATTTTCTTATCATAGCTTAAACAGAAGTACCAACCCTTGATAGACAGATAGGTAGACAGACAGACAGATAGACAGGATTCAAAGTAAAGATTTATATGAATCCATAGATAATGCTAGATTCAACTGGTCTAAAAATGACAAAAGCCTTGTTTTTATAATTTTTCCAAACTTGAAAAACGTGCTTTTAATTTTCTTAGGCTTAGTATCACATATCTATGATATATATGCATATATGTGATATGTGTGTTATAAGTATGCTTGTGTATATGAGTGTATGTGTGCATGTGTATAGTTTGCATTAGATGTTCTGGTGACCTTTAGCATCAGGGTTCTTGGGTTTGTGATAGCCCGTGTTACACTGGACCATTTGTTGTCACTTGAGAGGTGTGGCTCCTTCGTTTTCATATGGAAACAAACGCATGAACGAATGGGAAAGCCCAACAACTTGCCTTTGTAATTTTCAGACCTTAGCTTGACTTACATCAGGCTCCCTTGCAATAACAAGACTCCCGAGAAACTTTATGGAACTTGAAGCCAAAACAAAGGAACCTGGGACTGTCTCATAACACTTCACCGAGATGAAATTCTGTACCTGCCTGGATGACATGCTGTGGTCCCCCAAGGCGTGCTGGGAAGGCCTGCATCAATCCTAGATCTCTTCTAATGCTCCTGTCAGTTTTCTTGCTGGGGGATGCAGGTGAGATAGGTCCTTAAAAATACAGTTGAAGATTACTTCCAATGCTTGAGAAAGGAAACTTTCTAGACTGTGCTTCTGAGGGAGTATTCATTGTTACTTACATTTGAGACAGGGTCTCACCATGTACCCCAGGGGAGCTCTGAGTTCCAAGTGTTGCTCTGGTCCACCACATCCAGTTGGTAAAGCATTACCTGGCTTCTGGAACAAGGACTGGCTTCCCCACCCCACCCCTCCCACCCGTGTCTAGGCCTGTGTTTAAACTGTAGCTTCTCACAAAGTGCTTCCTTAATTTAGAGAGGGAATGACTCAAGCCTTGGGGATATGGTCGCCGTGAGTATCGGAACTCCACTGTGAACATAGCTGTGGGAGAAGCCAGGGGAACAAACACCAGTCCTGACTGGGCTAATGACTGTTCAAGCCACTTGTCACATCTGAGTTCCAAGCTCCTATATGTAATATCCACTAGTATACACTGAATATTTTCTCTGTTCCTAGAACTGTAAGATGCACCCTGTGTCTGGTCTTATCGGTTCTCAGACTTTTCAACTGTGAAATATGGTATAGTCACCTGTATTTTGCAAGTGTGGAAACTGAGGCACATAGAAGAAATTTGTCTAAGTTCACAGGCAGGGATGACAGCTCAGATGTTTTTGTTTTTTGAGACAGGGGTTCTCTGTGTAGCCCTGGTTGTCCTGGAACTTGCTTTATAGACCAGGCTAGCCTAAGACCCACAGAGTTCTATCTGCCTGCCTCTGCCTCCCGGGTACTGGGATTAAACATGTTCACCACCACTGCCCAGCGACAGCTCAGATTCTAACTCTGGTAGACAGACTGCCTATGAATTCTACCTTTATCCATGGCACTAACAAAGCAAGCATGTGTGAGGGCCAGAGAATGGAGCTCGCCACTAACCATAGGAGGCCATGGAGATCCTCTCAGCCCTACCAGTACATGTGTTGGATGGTGAAGGGGATTTGTTTCTATGCTGGTAATCCAGGCCACTCAGGACAACCCGACTCCGTTCATACTCTTCTTAGCCTGTTTTTACCGTTGGGCCTTGCAGGACTTGGCTTAGCTCCCACGTCCCACAAGGAGTCCTGTGGAGTCATTATTTTCTAAGCATATGGGTTAAATAAAATCTCAGCGGTAGAGAGACCTTGGGGAATGAAGCTCTGGGAAGGTTGGCCACATAGGAAAAACTCGGCAGCAAGAAGCTGCAATCCTGGAATTCGGATTGGTCATAAATCATTAAGGACCAGAGCCTGGTGGGCCACTGAACCAATAAAAACCAGCAGCTGCAGTTCAGAACGAGAGAAAGTTAAGGACAGCCACTGAGGCAGTCTGTGGGTGCTACTGGGAGATGAGGGCTGGGGAATGAGACCGGGAAAGGAGGCCGTGCAGTAGGGGGGTGGGGGTGGGGGGCGCTGGAACAAAGGGGTCCAGGGGATTAGAACCAAATTACCATCAGCAGCAGGCAATAGAGGAAGCCCTGAAGTAGAGCGAGAGGCAAACAAGAAGGCTGACTTGCTGCCCGATACTGAGAGAGGAGGAAGTGGGAGATGCGCGGCTTCCTGTAGAAATGATGATTGAAGACAAAGCTGGGTGGGGACTCACGCTTCGGTTGCAGCGGCCGCTGCACAGACAGACACTCGACGCCGTTCGGTGGGCAACTCCTACTACGGCGGGGCTGGGCTGCGCTGGGCTGGGCTGGGCTGCGCTGGGCTGGGCTGGGCTGCGCTGGGCGGGCCGAGCTCACCACCCACCAGCGCCGCCAGGGGAAGCTGCTCTCTAACCGAGCCTCGGAGCCGAGCAAGGTAAAGGACACGTTTTCCATGTAGCTCCTTTTGAATAGAGATAAAATGACCGTGCTTGTGGGTTTTAGTGTGGATTTCTTAGAGAAGCGAGGGACATTGTTTCAGTCTTTTTGGGGAAGTGATTCAGGTGGGGTTTTTAGCTTTATTATTATTATTTTTTCCGAGAAGGATGGTCAGATATGTGACACATTTTGTTTAGGGTGTGGGGAACCACCCTCCGTGTTTAGGAAAACACGCTGAATGTGAGCAGTGGTTTGCTTAGCTGGCCCGGCAGCTGGGCAGGCTTGAGTTGCAGTCAGCTGGGCTGTGAAGCTGCAGTCTGGGCATCGGTGCGCGGCAGTCCCTTGTTTTGGGGTGTAAGTAGTGAAAGACGTTAAACACATCGCTGGGCCGTCTTCTTTGCGACATCGTGGCTGTGATTTGGCTTTGGGGAGGTTGGGTCCTTTTGTACATAGATTTATTTTTTTTAACCAACAAAGACTCGTAATTGGCAAGTGAGGGGCAGGCAGTATTTACCACCAAGGGACCAGTGTCTTCCTCTCCTTGCCCGGTGCAGCTGCTTGCAGGGTAACCTCAGAGTCAGTAGGTCGTACCCTAAAGTTGATCCTTGTGCAAAGGACCATGGAGCGACTGGGGACAGTAATTTGCCCCAAATCGAATACCTGTGTGCGAATACAAGATTCTATGCCTGTATGGATTTCTTCATCTCTATATCAAAGCGATTGTTAATTCCAGATGGAGAGATAATATCAGAGTGAGCTGGTTTGTCATCTTGTCTGTTTGCTGTACAATGAAATAATATAATCAGAACACAATTTTATTCTGTAATTTTTCCTGAGCAGTGGGTGCCAATAACGGAGTCTGGGACTGGTAACTCGTTCGCGTTTATGAATGATGGAAAAGTGCAATAGAGGTCTAACAGACTTGAACTGAGATTGTGAGTTTTCTTTGGCAGAATATGTAGTATAAACAGCTTAATAAACTGTGGCATAATTTAAAAATATCCCCAACAGAAAGTGTGCTTAAGTGCAAGACAGCACTGATTACAACGATTTTTCTTTTCTTTCTATATAGTGAAAGGAAATAATTTTTCAAAGCAAAGAAGGAACCTCAGGTGGTAGAATTAAAACAATAAAATGGCACGTTTGGATACCCATGAATTATTAAAATACAATTTTTCAAACAACCAAATGTACCAGTTGAGAAATCATGTACTTTTGTGATAATGCTATTATCAGCTGAAGGAGCCGTACGATTGGGACTCTGCTTTGTTTTGTTATCTTATGACATTAATTTAGTTTCTCAGACTTTGTGGAGTAGCAGTGCATTTTCTGAGACAGGAAGCTTTCATGGGCACTGAGGAAGTAAATTTCTGTTTTCCTGAGTGTGTGGAGGAGTTGCTGTAGCCATGGGGCTCTTGGGAAGGATTCCTTGAATTTAATCAAAGCAAGTCGTGTGCCGGGTTCCACAGTCCCCATTGCATCCTAAAGTAAAATATGGAGCATTGATCTTGTGAATGGGGCTGGGGCTGGACTAGCCTGGTGATGGAGCTGTGTGTTTCTAAATGGAATAGGAAGCGGAGCCTCTGGGCTGTATGGAGCCTGGCCATCCACAGCCTGTGTTCCCCAGATGATGACAACACCCTGCTTTGTTTGGGGATGTCTAGAAAATGTGTTACACCCCCTCACCCCACCCCCCACCCCATGTGCCTCACAGGAGACTGAGATGATGAAACCTTGGCCAGTAGGCAGAGTAGTCAAGGGGCCCCCTGCTACCTTTCTGAAAACAACCAAGAGGTGCCTTATTTTCTGCCCAGTACAAAACACTTAATTGTGAAATTCCGTCTTGAGGCAGAATGTGAGTGAGGAACAGCAGATCAGAGAGGATGAAGGCAGGGCTCTTTCTTCAGCGAGAAACAGATGGGCGGGCTTCTTCCCGGCACAATGAGACCATCCCCACTCTTCTGGCCAGAGGGAAAACTAACAGGCATTCTTTCCCTCAGGGCATTCGGCAGCTCTGGAAGTGGACAAACACTGAAGCTTTAATTATATCTGGTTTTATTTTTTTCTCTCTCTCTTTCTGACATATGGTCACTGACTGAATGGAAACACGACTCATTATTTTATGGTCAGCCCTGGGCCTCGAGTGATGGGTATATGGTGATGAGTTCAGCTGAATAACTACTTCAGTCTGCTTCAGAAGGCAGGGCCCACTTTTAATCCTAAAAGCAGAAAACCCGTTCACAAGAGATCAGTGTCAGGCAAAGAAAGGATTGCCCTAGAGGTCCAACAACACAAGCTTTGGATGCAGAGTGGTCTGCCTGGGTCCTGCCGCTGCCTGACTCAATACAATTGTTTGTGAACTTCATTAATTCTTTGTGATGACGGATAGCAGCACACAGTCAGGGTTTTATGTGATGCACCTTTGCTTTTGTGTATGGATAAATGAGTGTCGGGAACAAAAAGATGCTGAAATGTTGTTTTGTTCTTTTGTAGCAGTATAAGGAAAAGTTAGCTGAGTCTCAGTCTCCGTCGCTGCCTCTGAGAAAAGAGATTTATTTATTGTAAAAGAATATTCATAACACAAAGTGACCCATTTTATTCTTATTTAAGCGTGCATTTCCGTAGTATTAAGTATAGTCACATTACTGTACTATTTTGTCACCATGCACCCCCTGAGTTCTTTTCAATCTTTTTTTTTCAAGACAGGGTTTCTCAATGTAGCTCTGGCTGTCCTAGAACTCACTCTGTAGGCCAGGCTGGCCTCGAACTCACAGAGATCTGCCTGCCTCTGCCTCCCGAGTGCTGGGATTAAAAGCATGGGCCACCACCACTCAGCTCTTTTTATGTTTAATTCTTGTAAGACAGAAAGTCGGTGTATATTAAATAATAGCTCTCCTTTTCCCCTGTAGCCCAGGCTCTGTCAATCACCGCCGCACTTCGTCTCTGTGAACCCGACTGAGAGCCTGATGGAGAGGGAATCGTGTTTTGTGATGAACTTAATCCGTCTTCTATATTGTCCCCAAGGCTCATCCCTGTCGTAGCGCATGCCAGAATGCCCTACCTTTTTAAGTCGAGTAGCTTCCTATCACGGGTGTCTGTCACACGCTGTTTGTCCATTCCCCCTTTGGTCAATGCCTGGCCCAGTTCTGGGCTGTTGCGCGCAATGCTGCTGTGAATGCAGCTGTGGAGAGCCCCGGCTTCCGTGCTCAGCTTTGGGTGCCACCACATTGCTTCCCGCAGCGCTGCACAGTCTGACCCTCCGCCGGGAGGCACAGCGTTGCAGCTCACCAGCGCCGCCGCAGCTGCTGATTCTTTTCCTTTCTCTGCTTTGACCGTTGCCACCCTCGGGTGGGAAGTGGAGGCTCCTTGTGATTGGATTTGCATTTCCTGGCTACAGCCATAGAGCCCCCAGTATCCCCAACACCTTCTTGCAAGAGCAGATCTCACGTGATCGACATTTTCCCCAACGATTTTCACTTTTCGTTTGCTTTTTGGACACTGGTATATCTTCTTAGAAGAAATGTCCATTCAAACACTTTCCAATTTTGACTTTGATTCTCTCTTAAAAAAAAAAGCTTTACTTTTTGCTTTTAAATTATAGGTGTGTGCTCCTGTGTGTGTGAATATGAGTACAGGGGCCCACAGAGGCCAGAAGGTGTCAGATCTCCTGCAACTGGAGTTACTGGAAGCTGTGAGTTGCCTGACATGAAAGACTATCTTAAAAGCCAATGTGATGTGCCCTTTCTGACACACACACACACACACACACACACACACACACAATCCCATGCAAACAGGAACACGTCACAATCAACCCGGTCAATAGCAGAGGGTGTTGGGTTTCTTGGGGTGATTGCGTGTTTCTTTGACGTAGTTTTACTGCAGAGGTCTGAAGTAAGACAGAAGGAACCTTCTATCTCTGGGCAAGTGTGAGCAAAAGGACTGGTCCTCAGTGGGAATCCTGGCTCTCAGTGGGAATCCTGGCTCATAGTGGGAATCCTGGCCCTCAGTGAGAATCCTGGCCCTCAGTGGGAATCCTGGCCCTCAGTGGGAATCCTGGCTCTCAGTGGGAATCCTGGCTCTCAGTGGGAATCCTGGCTCATAGTGGGAATTCTGGCTCTTAGTGGGAATCCTGGCTCTTAGTGGGAATCCTGGCTCTCAGTGGGAATCCTGGCCCTCAGTGGGAATCCTGGCCCTCAGTGGGAATCCTGGTCCTCAGTGGGAATCCTGGCTCTCAGTGGGAATCCTGGCCCTCAGTGGGAATCCTGGCCCTCAGTGGGAATCCTGGCTCTCAGTGGGAATCCTGGCCCTCAGTGGGAATCCTGGCCCTCAGTGGGAATCCTGGCTCTCAGTGGGAATCCTGGTCCTCAGTGGGAATCCTGGCTCTCAGTGGGAATCCTGGCCCTCAGTGGGAATCCTGGCCCTCAGTGGGAATCCTGGCCCTCAGTGGGAATCCTGGCCCTCAGTGGGAATCCTGGCTCATAGTGGGAATCCTGGCCCTCAGTGGGAATCCTGGCTCTCAGTGGGAATCCTGTCCCTCAGTGGGAATCCTGGCTCTTAGTGGGAATCCTGGCTCTTTGTGGGAAGACTGAACCAGCAGTCAGTGTCTTAACTGCTTCCCCCACCCTCGTTGGCCTAGTTGGAGCCAGTCACCCATGCTCCTGTCAGCTCCCGTGTGCCTCGTCTCTGAGGTGGGAGACAGGGCTGGAAACTAGGTTGATGGCTTCACCTTAAGATTTGACACCCCGTCAGCAGACAGTTGTTTCTTAAAAATCCCCTCCCCTCTTCCTCTGTCCCTCCCTCCCTCCCTCCGTCCCTCCCTCCCTCCCTCTCTCCCTCTCTCTCTGTCTCTCTCCCTCTCTCTCTCCCTCTCCCTCCCTCCCTCTCTCTCTCTCCCTCTCTCTTTTCCTTTTTATTTCACTTTCCCTCTCTCCCATGCATTCACAGTAAAATCTGCACAACCCAGCTGCTACTCATTTTTCTTACAGTTGGTCCAAC